TAACAAATAGCTTCCTCCTGTTTTTTCGCTCGGTTAAATTCTACTGTTGGGACCTGAAATTGTGGAATTTAAGCGAGCATTACTGTAACGATAAAGTTGCTTCATTAAACACAGTTGTGAAAGAACTATAGGACAAGGGTTTATATAATCATTGTTCGTCTAATAAAAGGAAATCCGTCAAGTAAGAAGGTTCGAAAAAGATTACGGAAAGGGTATATTGTAATAAACGAAAATTTGTTTTAATGCTTCGCGTCTCAAGTTTTTCGTAATTATTGTGACTTACACGCCGGTCTTTTCCCGTTTTCGTTAGACCATTACATCCACCGCCATATCAATTTCAGGTGACTCCGGTCCTTTTATTTACTTTCTCCGTCGTTCGCGAAATAAAGGACTCTTTGTCGCGTTGGAAATCTATTAGACCTCTATCGCTGGCTATTTTGTACGGAGCCATAAAATGTGAACAGTAATATTTTACCAAGCACGGTGGCTTTTCCACGATTGTAATTTCCGTTTGGTGGACACGGGAAATGATAAATTTTAAGATCGATCGTCGCGTCGCAGCGGTTAATATTCAGATTACTGCAATACAAATTCTAAAAACGATTGAACGCAAGGCGGGTCCGCCATGGGCAGAGACCCCGATGGAAATTTACATTACGGATGAAATTTATGATTTTCAAATCAGATTAACTGCTCAGACATTCGTTTGCTTCGTTGTTGGTCCGCTTTCATCTGCATTTACCCGATGAAATACGGCGGATTCGGGATCAAAGTAAACGGAGTATTCATTCTTTGCACTTTAAATTACTGGATTGGTAATAAATTTATGCCATACCATTTGTTTCGAACCAGCATAAATCCAGATCTCCCAATGTCGATCAGTTTATTAAATCGCCAGTTAAATGAATTTTATTGGTGTAATATTTACTGGACTCGTTTCAATGTCGAGTGTCTGATAACGTTTGGGTTTAAATGTTTTTTAAGACATATTTGAAAAAGGGTGTAGAAGGCGTGATCATTAGATATATCTAATTATCAATCAGAAATTGATAATAAATGTAAATTATGAATTATAACTTCGAAATTAATATTGTAGTTATATTTGATATTTTTAATATAATCATTTAAGTTCAACTAAACTTGGTATTAGAAAGTCCAACTTCTTATGATGAAGAACAATACTCGTTTTGATCGTATAATTTATATTGTAATTAAAATTTCTGATATAAATTCGAGATTATTAATTAAAACGACTTTTTTATATTCAATTTTTATTCACTCGTTGGATTCAGTATTCAATTTCAATTTAGAATTATATAACATTTAAAAAATATTAAGAAATGATCATGTTTATCAATTTTATGTGATCTTCATTCATCCAATTTTTATTTGAGTAATAAATAGTATATTACAGTAAATATTTTATTTGCATTTAGTGAGAATTAATTAATTGTGTAATTATTTTATATTATATAGAATACAAATATTTATATAAAATTATGTAAATTTATATTTTATACTAAATTGTTCGTTTAAAGCTAATTAATAGTATATTTTAAAAAGATTTAATTTGGCAAGTACCTGTATAAGACAGGCAGCGTTCACTTCACTTTATTAGAATGTTGTGCAGAGGATCGTGGAGAACTTTATCTAAGTGACAAGAAAATGTAACACTGAGGACCAGTCTAATATGTACGCAAACCATGGTCCTCCACCCGGGGCGTAAGGAAACCAATTATTAAATGTTGTACACTGTAGCCTCAGGTGCGCCAATTTCTGCGCTGCATTATCAACTCTGTTACACTAAACTCTAAAGCATACTGCGACTTCAGAAGCACAGTCGGGTAATAAACAATTACCGGAGATAAGGAAACGTAACTGAAACTAGCAACAAACTTACTCGGTCCAGGGGACTGCGGAACTCTCGGAAACGTGAATTGATTAACCCTTCTGTCGCACGATTAGAGAGTTATACAGAAAATTGTTTTAGTGCAAAGTATATATTACTGATTTTACATTGAATTGTTAAATAATGCACTTTATTAATTCAGATACACTTTTGATATGTATGCGTATGTTCGAGTATTCACATCAATAAGTCACTTCACAGATAGATTCACAAGGAAAGGTATTAAACCTGAAGGTTCAAAACATTATAAAACTTTGTGCGTAAGTAGAGTAGAGTCAAGCCTAATACATTACAATTGTTCGTTATCTGTTACTATTTACAAGACAATTCACGAGGAAAAAAGGTTTTCATGTTTTTCAAGGGATAGTTTCATCCATTCAAAGTGAAATTCGGCAAGAAAAAAAGTTGCAATGTGTTAGGCTTGACTTACTCTAACTTATACACGAAGATTCATAATTTTTTTAATTTCCGGGTTCGATATATTTCTTTGTCAGACCATATTCGAAATGTGGACAGAGGATTTTATGTGTCATTTCTTTTTTTTGTTTCACATGAAAAAGTACAGTGCAAAACATAAAACCACTATTTTCTTCAATAATTATGTGTTTTTTTGTGGTATGGATTTACGTAATATATTTCAATATATCTTAATAGAGTTTCATATGTTTTAATATGTTTTAGTATTTTATTATATTAGTATTTAGTTTAGTATAGTTAAATATATTTTAATATATTAGTAGTTTTAGTATATTCTAATATATTTTAATTACATACTTGTACATTATATCTGAGCACCAAAGTATTATAGACCTCTAATAATTATACTAGGGTCGATAAGTACTATAATCATCAGGGTTCTTAAATCTTTCTCTTCGAAAACCCAAGTACACTGCAAAAAAAAATAGAAAAAGAAAAATTTTAATGAATGATCAAATAATACAATAATGATTTTTCAAATTCTCAGGGATTTAAAAAGTTCTTCCCTAAATTATCCCAATCAAATGACCAGTCATCGATAGGTCACATTTTTTTCGAACATCTTAATCGCTTTTTCGAGCACCTTAACTATATTATAGAGATAATATTTAAATCATTTACTTAATTTAAGTTAAGAATATTAAATGTCGGGCAGAATGAAGTTTAATTCCGATGCGTGAAATTAGGATGCGATTGTGCCAGTCTTTATAATGAAGAAGAGGATTGACCGTTTTCACTGAACTGGCACAAAGTTGTTGCCAACGTTCATTGAGTATAACCTGTGTTCCCGTTAAATTAATCTCGCGCAAAATTAATTAGTAGCCGCTTTGATGAATTAATATGCAGCACATTGTAAAAGCGTGGATACTGTTCCTGTAGCGCGCTCATCACGTCAAATTATACACAGTTTACGAGCTACAAACGCAGAGCTGCATCCTTCATTCATTGGTTCGACCCGTCTTGAAGGCATAACTTACGAGCTAATTAGACGTAAATTCTATTCTACTGGTGGAAGAATATTATATTATTGCCAAGAAACAACATCCCATTCTTCCTTTTGCTTCTTATATTTAATATTTACGTGAGTATCATATAAATTTGTTGGGTCTTAGGTATAATATTTTCGCGAAATTCAACTGTATAAAACATTATAGTTTCACATTTCCCTTATGTATGTTTATTTGAATTGTAAGTTATATATAGTTATAAGATGTCTTGACTAACTTAAGAATCTTGAATTTTTTATTCTTGATGACAGAAGAAAATGTCAGAATATTATAATATTTTCTTGGAAAGAATAAATGTAACAAATATTTTTTCTTGAAGTTACATTTTTTAAGATCCTGAGATTATACATGTTTCTCACAGTGAAAAAACATATTTTTATCATCCTGCAGTAATTACTGAATCCAAGATCAGTAAAGTGACTTCTAATACTATAATCTTCACTCGTCATTAAGTATAAAAAGAATTATAAATTGTATAAAAACAGAAGTAAATAATTATAATAAAAAAGTTGTCACTGTTGATTGTTTATAAGTACATTAAAGAATTGAATAAATATACAAATACAAATAATGATATACAAATAAATAATTATCTGGTTTTTTTATAGATTATTGAATATATGTATAATATAGATGCGTATTATTCATATACAATTCTAATCTCATACTTTCAAGTGCCATCAAAAAATTACCAGAAATTACTTTTCACAAAAAAGTATGTACCTATAGAAGATTTGCAAATTTTTAGAAATTAATTGTTTGTATGTACTGTGCTCGAACCAACGTTGAAGAAATTTATGATTCTATACTTTTCGAACTATTTGATGCATCGTAAGCTGAATATTCATCATATTGACACGACATTTGACTTTTGTGAGTTGCAGGAGTTTTTTCCACAGTTCAGATAACAGATCAGCCAAAAAGTTTTCATGCTTTTGATCATTTAAAATGTCGTCGATAAGAAATGGTTCAGTAATGTGTCGCCAAAAGTACCATATCATACATTTATATTTTATGGACGCTGCTGTTTCAAATTTCTAAAACTCAGACTTAGCGACAACAATTTGAATTTCCAATTTTTTTTCAAATTAAAATGGAATGAAGAAAATTCTTTAACAAACGTAGTCATTATAATATTAACAGTAATTAATGTATTACACATTAATCGAATATACAAGAAGATAATACGGAAATGACTATTCAGCTCCAAACCATACACACAGTCGAAAGGTTGTAGGCTGCAGGCGAATTACAAACTCTCGAATTCAGAATTCCCGAGTAAGACGAAACAAAAGGAAGAACAGGTGGTAAAACGGATATACGAAAAAGCTACCCCCGACGATTTGCTCTTTTAATTAATTCTCGGCGTCATGAAAAATCTGCAGGCTCAAAAGTCTCGAGTTTCCTCGACCGGTCCAGGGACCTCTGTACAACTCCGACGAAAAAAAAGACAAAGAAAGAAAAGGGAAAAAGAAAAATACTAAATCTCGTTCGGATGGTGAAAAAGCCGGAGGGTTGAATGGGCTGCCAAGCAACGACTAAACAACGACAGAACACGGAGGATGGGCCCGTGGTAGTGGTGCACGAGTGTGCTTTTTGCGACTCACATGGGAAGCTGACTGGAGGATGAGTTTGGGCGTTGTGCGCGTTATGGGGATGCCTGGGGGTCGGGACGCGTTGTCTGCAGAAGCACAGCACCGTCACCGTCACCATGCCAGCTATACTCAGTATCAGAAAAACAAGAGCGATCGCGAACCAGGTTGCCTGCATGCCTAGAATCGTTGATGCCTCGGAGTCTGAAACAGAAAGGAACATGATACGTTAGTCTGAATGTTGAGATTGAATGAGAATTTTTTTAACTTTTAAATACTTTTTCGGTGAAAACGTGAACTATGCATCGAGGTTTTAAATGGTAGGAGAGAAGTAAACTATGAGTCGCTTAGAATAATGGTCTAGATACTATTTCCTGAGTACTTGTGAAAAAGAAATTTTTGTGAAATCTTGGATTAATTAAATAGTAATAGCAGAATGTCATTAATTTAATTAGTTATTATTAATTATTAGTATTAGTAATCGTAATATTAGAATGTTTTAGTCATTGTTATATAAGTATTTAATTAATTCAAGAACATTTCACATAAGCTTTTTTTCTCTCAAGAACTCAGAAGTAGGAGTTACACATTCTTATTCTGAGCCACTTATATCGATCTCTTGTTATTTGAATAATTAAATTACTTATCTACAGCTTTCTATTTTAGATATCAAAACTCGAAGCTAAAGGATTAATAAGTTACAGTATTATCTATATATTTTTGGCAAGAAACAAATTAATTTTGCTTATTAAAATCAGAACTAAATGCAGTGTCTTTTTCTTTAATTACAAATCCGTTAAACATCCTACTGTTTCTTCGTTGCTTTGGGATTTACCATTCTCGCCTTGAAAATGCAACTATGATATTAAAAATAATGATAAATATTTTGAGAAAACATCGGGTTCATTTATCTCTCACTCATATTTAATTATTATGATACTTTTAAAATAAATATGCGGAAAGATTTCTTTTTTAATCGGGAATACTAGATACTAAATGTGAAAGTAAGATATCAGCCGTTCGCAGAATAAAATATCCAATTCCAGTTGTTCAGTTATTTAAAATTTTAATGTCGAAGCATTCGATTGATATCCTAATAATTTAATTTTATCAATTTTCTCAACTTCTGAATCGTAGATTTAATCATTTCACTAAATAAATGAGTCAGATAGATATCTATATAAGTATTTACATATGTATGTTAAAGTAAATAGAATCAATTACGAAACATCTGAAGAAGTACAAAATTGGTGAAAATGATCCTGGAGACTTATGTACAACATGAGTTATGAATTGAAGGAATTAAAAAATTCATAATTGGTATGGAACCCTGATTCAGTCAAACAAATGGATAATGAAATTTAGGATATGTGTTATCATACAAACTCAAGCGATGGCAGTTTCGAAATTATTTTTGTCTACTTGAACCTCGCAATTAGTGCAAATAGCGTGAAATTAAAACTGTCTGGGATCTACATTTTTTAAATTACTTCTGTTGTTTTACGACAGTTTAATGAATTATTTATATTGGAGAAAAGATTACTTTCTCTATTCCTGACTTCCACTTTCAAGTGTTTGCATGTCTGAAGAAATACAGGTAATTAAAACAGACAGATCCCTAATTGTTTGCGTTTTGGATGACTTGTTCAAACTTTGACCATAATGAATTCGGGCAATGGATTTAAAACAAGTCTTGAAACTCATTTGTTAGTTCGCAGAAAGCACAAATATAGAATTGTTCATTTAGATCTGTAGGTGTTAGACAGAATATATTCAGAGTGATTATTATTGTGTATTGAATAATGTAGTTTAATACAATAGCGGATTAATTGCAACTTATAAATTTTAGTATTCTGTTTTAGTCATTTAATTATGATAAATATTATGTTAAAATCTTTGACTGCATTTTGTAAATATTTGAATTCTCAAACTGAAATGGTAAAAATTATTTTAGGTTTAAATTCAATACTATTTTTCTATTATTAATTGTTAGCTTTCTAAATAAAGGTGAATATAGATGAATTTTGAATTTTGTCTTTGTTTCTTGATAAATTATTAATGACAAAGCTATCATAGCGAGCGCAGTTATAAAAGACATTACAGGACAATAGATTAAATGGGTTATCACCATATCTGAAATGCTAATTACGAAAATTGATCGAGAGCACGTTTAATTTATAATAAACTTCACTGTAACTTGAACCAGCCAATGAAGAACTCTTAGTAGCTGTGCTTCTGAATTATCTTAATTTTCAAGAAATATTCAATTTAAAATAGCGAATATTACGATGAAAGTGATTATTTTTTAGATCATATTTTCCGAAATGTCAAAAAGTTTGCGTGATACACTTTTATAAATGCAATATTAAAGCCTGTAAGAATCACATTCAATTATTCATAATAGTTAGTGTACATATTAAAAAAATGTCAAGGAATTGATTCAGTAACAAATTAACGACAAGATATAAAGACGTGTTTCTCTTTGCAATTGGAGTGATTACAACATTGATAGCAACGCACCTCAGCGCTAGATATCAAATCAACTAACAACAGAAGGGAATTCATTTCCTCAGACGGTTTGTAATGTGTTCGTCTGAACAGGCAACACAAAGACCGTTTTCTGAGAAATGCACGCAATTTCGTATAAATCGAGAGATCGATAGGCTCGCTGCATACTTTGCTTTTTATCATTACGAGCTGCAACATGCTACGGCATCGCGACGGGAAAAAACACTTCCATCGACACTACAATTCTTTGCCTAGCTTTCCCTGGCCCGACGTTAAAGCTACGAATGTTTTTTAACGTTTTAACTGTCACGTGAACAGAATTCGGGTGGCACCAGTTTTTACAGAAACTTAAACATTAAACTTTTAAATCTGTATTTTCCAAATGTGAACATTTATGACACACTTCAATATAGTTTGTACACAGTTTGTACTAGTATGGACTTGGCTTTTATTTGATTAATTATGGCTCGATGAAACACAAAAATTATTTGTTAACTGAACACGAGAACGAAGAGCTATTGAGAAATGAAACTGAACTTAAGTGACTTGTTAACTCATCATTCTCTGTTGGAAGATTAATTTTCATCGTGATCTATCAAACGAACCGAATTTTGTTGAATGTATGAGGTATAAGAAAGATAGTGGAGTAATCGTTATGAAGGACCTTGATTGTTTAGTTTCTGTTTTATTACGAAAACTGTTTCTGTATAACTGTTCTACTTTGATGAATGTTCAAATGTTTGAAAATTTTGAAAATAACATAACTTTTTGAAAATTTTTATTTTATAATTTTACAGACGAGAAAAAGCAATGTATCTTTTGTTTAAACTTTTTTTCGCTATCTTTTACCGTTTCACCCCTCCAAAATGAAATTCGGCACAAAAGGAATTGTAATATTTTAGGCTTGATTTACTCTACTTATACACAAAATTTCATAATTTTTTAAATTCCCGAGTTCAATACCCTTCCTTCTGAGAAAAAATGTGTTTTTCAATTTTTCTT